GTTGTGTTCTCCTTTACTCCTAAATGCGCTGATGTCTGTTTGTACCGGTTTTGAATTTATTAAGATTGTTGAGAAATTTGCATTTCTTAACATCTTTGTGTCTTTTCAACGTACCATTGGTTGTATTCCTCCCATTATAAAGGAATTAGTTTCTACCTAACTGAGAAAATCAGTAAATGGAGTTAATGGGGTTGAGGAGGATTGATAAGAACCTAGAACAAGAGTATGTAAAAATAAAGTTTTTATTACATACATTTTGTATTGAATTTTATTTTAGCAATAAAAAGCAAATTCAACAGTTCAACAATTTCAGCAAATTTCGTGTGTTTTCTTTTCTTAGGGCTGGACTCATCACTGAGACATTTTGAACAGATAACAAAGATATGCTTCTATGTTTCTGTAAGGAACCAAGATAAACCTGGAAGGCATAATGGGACCCCTTACAAATATCTATGTCTTTGCTTGTGTCTTTACATTTACGCTATGGAATAATATCCAGCCAGCTGTGGCAAATGAATTTATTGCAAATTATTCAAGCAGTTTACTAACTAATGTTCCAAAAAACATTCCAGTCCATACTCATGTATTAGATTTATCACATAATAGGATCTCTGGACTTAGTATCTCAGAATTTATTTATCTTTCTGACCTTCAAGTATTAAATCTTTCTCATAATCTAATTACGGAGATTGACTTCAGTGTCTTCATTTTTAATGAAGATTTAGGATACTTAGATTTATCTCATAATAACATTTTGAAAGTTTACTGTCAAACTCTTGCATATCTTAGGCATTTAGATCTTTCTTTCAATAAGTTTTCTGCCCTGCCCATCTGTCAGGAATTCGGGAACATGTTTCGTTTGGAGTACCTAGGTTTAAGTGCCACAATGATACGAAGGTCAGACTTCAGGTATATCATACATTTGCAGCTGCATGCTGTCTTGCTAACCTTAGAAGATTTTTCTCTGTATGAGCCTCAGAGTCTGACAGCCTTGAATACAAGGAGCCTCCATATTGTTTTTGCAGCAAACCAAAACTTCAGTTTTTCCCTCCTGTATGATGGAATGAGCACTTCAGAAATCTTAAAAATAGTTAACCTAAGATATACCTTGAGCTACAAAGATTTCCCCCCTCCTTCTTTAATGCTTCTGAAGAAAATCAAGACAACAGCTCTGATGCTTGACACTGTGGACTTACAATGGGCTATCATTTTGCAGATTTTCCTGTTTATTTGGTATTCACCTGTGGAGCATTTGACTGTGAGAAATTTGACTTTTTGGGGACCACTGGGGGAGCTGCCCGAGTATGAAATTCTACACTTATTAAGCTCTCTGGGACAATTAATGTCTTTGGATGGCTCCATGAAAACATTGACTTTGGAGCATGTTCGTAATAAAGTTTATTATTTCAACCAAGAGATTCTATACAGACAGTTTTCAGAGATGAATATTGCCAGTTTGACAATATATGATGCATATATGCCACACATGCTTTGCCCCAATAGAACAAGCTCATTTCAGTATTTAAATTTTTCTCACAATGCCCTGACAGATGAATTGTTCCAGAATTGTGGCACTCTGATAGATCTGAAATTACTTATTTTGAAGAGGAATAAATTTGAGAGCCTGTCTAAGGTAAGCTCCATGACCAGCCGTATGAAATCACTGAAATATTTGGACATGAGCAACAACTTGCTGAGTCACGATGCAGCTGATGGGCAATGCCAATGGGCTGAGTCTCTGACAGAGTTGGACCTGTCCTCAAATCAGTTGATGGATGCCGTTTTTGAGTGCTTGCCAGTCAACATTGAAAAACTCGACCTACAGAACAATCAGATCAACAGTGTGGCCAGGGGGACGGCTGAGCTGAAATCCTTGAAAGAGCTGAACCTGGCGTCAAACAGGCTGGCTGACCTGCCGGGGTGCAGTGGCTTTCCGTCCCTGGAGTTCCTGAACATAGAGATGAATTCAATCCTCACCCCGTCTGCCGACTTCTTCCAGAGCTGCCCAAGGGTCAGGGAGCTACAAGCCGGGCACAACCCGTTCAAGTGTTCCTGTGAACTGCAAGACTTTATCCATGTGGAGAGGCAGTCTGGGGGGAAGCTGTTTGGCTGGCCAGCGGCATACGTGTGCGAGTACCCAGAAGACTTGCGAGGAACACAGCTGAAGGACTTCCACCTGACTGAACTGGCTTGCAACACGAAGAACGAGCTGATCCCAAACCTGGAGAAGGGGGAGGGCCGTGTACAACTGTGCCAGCACGAGAGAAACTTTATCCCCGGCAAGAGCATTGTGGAGAACATCATTAACTGCATTGAGAAGAGCTACAAGTCGATCTTCGTGTTGTCTCCCAACTTTGTGCAGAGTGAGTGGTGTCACTATGAGCTGTACTTTGCCCATCACAGATTATTCAGTGAGAATTCCAACAGCTTAATCCTCATTTTACTGGAGCCGATCCCTCAGTATGTTATCCCTGTGAGGTACCACAAGCTGAAGGCTCTCATGGCGAAGCGAACCTACCTGGAGTGGCCGAAGGAGAGGAGCAAGCGTGCCCTTTTCTGGGCTAACCTGAGAGCCGCTATTAGCATTAACCTGCCAATATCCTTTGAAGATAATGAGGAGCAGAGTGATGCTACTTCTAGTAGTAGTGAAAGTCTGTATGTGAATAACTGACTTGAGTGTCTTGCATTGAATTGTGTTAATCACATTTTTATCATTTTTTACAGTATTCCTTGTTTATAGCAAAATGTAATTGTGATACATACAGGAATTGCTGTGCCTATTTTAGGCATGAAAATAGTCACAAGTCTTCTGTATTTGCCCATCATCTACAAAGGGAAAGACAGAGACATTATTTTCATAGCGATTACACTGATTTTTGTAGACTTGGGTTGCCTTTATTTTGGACTTTGCCCATCAATTCTAGCCATATTAGAAAGTAACAAAAGTAATGGTTGGTTCAGTGTCATTGGGATTGTCAAGTCATGCATTTGATCTTTGTTCTGACATGGATGCTGTGTGGTTAAGGTGGGAGGGATCTGATTCCTTGAGTTTAAGGAAATAATACAAAGAAGAAGAAAACTCTTGTTTAAAGCCTTTCCTGTACATTGGTATAGTAGGTGTCAAGGGTACGGTATCCCTACACCTTCAGATCTCGCTGGACCTTGTTATGAGTCTGTTTTCCCTTCCTGTAAGTCTTTCCCTTCATCACAGACAGAGATTTTTCTGGTGTAAGAGCTGAAAGTTGGAGCCATTAATACCTCTTTAATATTCCTCTTCTTTCACTGTATTAAACATTCCCACTTGCCCGAATTTACCTACCAAGTAATAATTTCATAGCATTTGCTATTCATTATCTTCAAAATAATAGTTAATATCTGAACTTATGAAATTTTTATCATATGATAATATTGCTTCTTTCTGCTATGATCATATCAAGCTATATTGGGTTGCTTGTTTTCCATTTTCTGAAATGTAGTTATATATTTCAAATAAAATATTTTCCTTATTATGAACTCTTTCAACTGTAAGAGGGCAAAGAAAAACAAGATGCCTCAATCTATTACTGTTTCATTATACAAAAATTTCCTTCAGTTGTGCCACTGTCATTCTTCTCTTAAATTATAAAATATATTTTATTGCTGTCGCTCTGCAGTAGCTAATAAGTAACCTACATTATAATGTAGTTTTATAGGTATTTAGAATACCTTTTTTTGTGATAATAACGGGGAAACCCCTCATATTTATAGAAAATTGGCAAAGCTGCAAATGAACAGTAGGAAACAGAACTTGCACAACTACTGCTAAAGAGTGATATCACCAGAGCTGTCACTAAATTAGGTCATTTATTAAGTACTGAAATTCAGAAGCTTGATTTTGGAGGTAGATCCCCTTTTATCTCCAGACTTTCACTGATCTCTGTTACCTTGCCCTTTTATTAGCAGGTGCTGAGGGTCATCATGCAGGTGGAAAAGGAGTAATTTTCATTGGGAAATAAATTCTCTGCTGAAATCAAACTGATTAAACTAATGGTATTTGTTGATAGGAGACATCTAATCATTTGCTGTGCTTGGATCTAATTTGACAACCTAATAAACCTCTCATTTTTTATCTGTTATTAAATTTCCTGGTGTCATTTCACTGGTGATGAAGAGCTGTGTAATTATTCTTACCACTTAATGGAAATGTAAAGCCCTCTGATTGCAATCGTGAGCAGCACGCGGGGTGAGCAGGCCAGTAAGAGGATGAGTGCGGTGGTAGCCAGATGAAGTAGCAGACAGGCAGCTACAGGAGAGCTTGCTCATATCCAGCAGGGGTGAGAGGCTGCCATGCACCCACCTGCCCACTCAGGTGAACTGGGCAGCACAGTAGGATGCTGGGTGCCTGGCTCTAAATGTACACCTTTGGAAAGAAGGGCTAAAAATCTCTAATAAGTCTCAATTTCAGGTGAAGGGAAGTTGGCTTCTGACTTGCTTGGTGACACGTAACTAAGGTCTCCCCTTTCTGAGAGCCAGGACCAAGCTTGCTTTGTGTACCTTAAAACAGGCTGCTAAACTCTCAGTGCTTCACCAGGAGCTGGTGGATGCGGCGTGCTTGAAAAGCAGGTTATTTATGAGGAGGGGAGATGTCCAAAGACACAGAGGAGCTTAGTGCTCTGCAGGAGTTTGGGTCAGGAAGGCCTTATCCTGTCCTGAGAGTCAATTGTGCTTCATGGCAACCCAAGGCAGCGGCCAGGGCATTGGACACAGCGGGGTGCTGCCAAAAGTGGGTCACAGACCTCGTGTGCCAGCCAGCTGGTTGTGGCAGGCTGCGAGGTGCTTTCCACAGCAGTAGTGATGTTAAACCTGGGGCTGCAGCCTGAATGCACCGCCGGAGCTGTGACACTTCCTTCTTAACAGGTTTTTCCCAACAGTACAGCATCCCTCTGGGTGCGGGTCCTTCACCTCTAGAACATCGCTGTCTGCTCTGAGGCAGTTGCCTGGCTGAGCTTTAGTGGCTTCTTTATTTCAGCTACAGCCAGAGTCATATCTGTCTATAATTTAATGCTTGCATGCTATAGAGCTCTCAGGTACTTAAGGAATCATTCAGTCGCTGGTCTGGAGTTCTGTAGCCTTTAACCTCTCCAGGGCTCCCCTGCGCTTTTACAGGGGAGAACGCTACCAGAAAACCTCTGCCCCTCCTTCCTGAAAGACTTCTCCACCTCCCAAGCATGACAGTCCAAGGACACGATTAGCCTTCACACTTAGTGGTAACGTTCTAATGGGCACATATTCTGTCCTGTTTACTAGACGAGAAAAGAGGAAGTAAAATTTCTCAAATCAGGCTTTCCGGTCTCTGTGAATGTAATGCATCAGCAAACTGGGTTTTACATCCTAAATAATGTATAAGGTCTGGGCCGTGGGAGAGTCCCTCACATTTAAAACTATTCTGAAACCTAACCCACAGGTAGGCGTGAAAGGAATAATTTGGTTTGTGAAGTCTGCCAAATATACTGGTTTTGGATATTAACCCTGTAACACCCCTTTATACACTGTCCTTCCTACCACACAAATCTTTCAGGCACATGCCAAGTATTTCAGTTATTCACATATGGACCATATCCTATAGCCACTTAAAATACACTTCTGAGTTCCTTTGATTAATTTGAGGTTTGTTGTTGTTTTTTTTTTTTTTTTAAGTTAGCATTTGACAGTTTTTCTCATCACTTCTCTGCTGGAACTTCCATTTTCTTCATTCCTGAAGCTCTATTTCTGTTCAGAGGGTACATGAAGTATTGATTATTTGTTGCTTTGACCCAATGTAGCAAGTTCTTTTCTTCACAGGTTTTTACGAGGCAATGTGCTACTGAAGATTTTTTTTTCTAATATATTCATAGAGGTGTTTCTTGAGGAGAATTTTCGAGACTTACAGGACATGAGTATGTGGTTGAACTCTTGAAATACTGTCATGCTAATGTCCATATTTATAAAAATGATGTCAGGTGCTGCTCTCATGGAGCTCGCAGGCCTGGAAGCACACATGAAAGCAACACTGCGTGTCGACTTTGTTAGTTTTCAGCCAGACAAGATTTTTAATTGTAGAGGATTTCTTAAATGTGGTTTTATGGCTAAAAGTTGCAGTAGAGAAACAAAGATCAGTCTTGAATCCTCGAGCAGATTTCTGTGCATGACGGGATCTGACTCAGTGATAGAAGGTAAGACAGAGGGAACAGCTTCATTTCTTAACTGCGAGAGAAGAAATATTTTCTTAAATTACAATCTCAGAAATTTAAATGTTGCCATTTTCTCAGATTAAGGGTGACACCCAGCGGCCGATTGAAGTATCATTGAATAGTTCCTGAAAATGATCGCTCACGCTAGAATACGTACCACACATTTTGCCTCGGAGGAAAACTGAAATAAATAATCGCATCGACCCAGCTGATGCAGGAGCCTCTTGCGGATGTGTGAGGCCCAGAGAGGACGGGTCGGGTCAGGAGAAGCCCTTCCTCCTGGCGGCTGTGACTCTGTCCCCTACGCTGTCAGTCCCTCCTGCCCGTGAGGTGCAGATGCTGACTGGTTCTTCAACAAACGAACCTTAAAAATCAACAGCACGATGTGAGCGCTGCCTCTTACTTTGCAACCAGCAATCCTTATTTTCAAGCAGGATGCCAAGATAGACAAACCAGCCATTTTCTCACATTTTGTTTGCAGGGTTTTATTTTTATGCCTCATTTCTGCTGTACCTGCTTTCCCTTCCATGTGCCACCATGGCACAGCACAGGTGCTCCGGGCTGATCTGCTGGGTCCCAGGCAGCAGCAGGCCACCGTCCCAGCGCCGTGGCCTCAGCAGGAGTGGGAAGCATTAAGAGGCGCGTATTTGACTTCGACTGGGCTCGCTCTTCTTAGGCACCTGACAAGGCGTGAAGAAGTAAAAACCATTCTTCGCCAGCTCTGCACATCATCACCTCTCAGCAAAGCCCGCGGGTGTGCCCAGAGGTGAGCAGGGTTGGTGCTGCATCCATGTGCTGGCAGCCTGCTCTGGCACCCCGGCCTGGGAAAGGGCTGTGGGCAAGGGCCCGGCTAACAGAGCAGGCCCAGCCGCCTGGTTTGCGAGTGACAAAAAAATACAAACTCACGCCTTTGGTGCTCCAGACCTGTCCAAATGCCCTCATTAGAAGCGAGTAAGCTATTTCTGTGAGTTTGCCACTGAGTGCGCTGCTGGGCACAGCTCCTCCACCATGTAGGAGCTAAAAGCACCAGTGCTACAGGCAGTGCCTGCGATGCCTCATGCTCCTGCCCTGCCTGCTCCTGCCCTGCCTTCTCCTGCTCTTGTCCTGACTGCT